TCTTCAGCCTCCTGCGCCTGCAAACCCGCCTCTGCTAGACCAATAAGCTCGCTCAGTCTGCCAATGTCGTCCTCAGCCTTCTCCGCCTGTAAGCCCGCCTCTGCTAGAGCGATGAGCTCGTTCAGTCTGCCAGTGTCGTCCTCATTCTCGTCCCCCTCATTAGACAACACAATCGGTGATTGAACGGTGCGACCAACTCGTATTCTGTACTTATCTAACTTCTTTTCCTCATAACTTGCATGAGCCACCTCTGAGGCATGGTTCTCGCTGCATCCAATCCCTTCATATATAAAATGCAATCAGTTAGCAACGCGACTATATTACATTTAAAATCAGGCAACGAAAAAAGGCTTTCAAGCACTCACTGACACATAATGCAACAACATGCTCGTTCAAGATCTGTATCTGTACTGTTGTCTCTTCCCTTGCCTCCTTTCTTACCCTCTCCTCCTCTAATGCCATCCATCTCTCTAATCCCTATTTATCAAGCTCAACATCGATCGGGTTATGAATACCGCGTTGTCTAGTAAACTCACGCATCTGGTCTTTGTGATGTTTAATGAATAGGTTGACATAGTCAGGTCCATATCCCCTCTTCCATGTAATTACTTACATCCCTTTCAGTTCATCCAAAAACTTAGCTTGACCATCATAACATTTCCACCTGTATTTCCCAGTGCTCTGTTCAAATGAAAAATTATATCATATATGTCTTAGCAAAAGAAATAAAATACGATTTCATGTTTACCTCAAAAATAACTAATCATTTCATAGTCAACCATATGGCCGCAATAATGGTCTATTCCAAGCTTCGAAGGGACTAGACCGTAGTTGGATTTAACACCACATTCGCACTTGACCGGAGGCGCTTTGTAAATTAACATTTCTTTCTTCTTATCCTTTGCCTTTGGTGGCTCCGGCCATTGATTCTTAGAACCATAGAGCCACTCCTTGAAACGACACTTCACAAATCCATACACCTAAAAGAGGAGACATTAGTACACGCATACATAGAGCTAAACATTTAAACAGATACACTTTACGCTTACTTCGTGTTTGTTCGGACACACAAACTCCAATGTATTCTCGAGAGTTTATTACATCTCGATCTCCGCATTCGCATCAGAGGAGGTTCCTCGAGTCGACTAACTGCGCTAGGTGCTTCTCCTTAGCCGTCATTGGCCGGGGTTAGGGGTGGAACCCACCACTTGAAGTGCTCACGTGGATGTCTTTTCTCTGCACCCATCGTCGAAAATAAGGTACCTAGGGTCAAACTTGTCTGTACCATTGATCCACTGAAAAAACACCTCTCATGGTCCTACACAACAAGATTCCAATAAAATATTAGTAGCATACTTACACAAATAAAGAAAAAAAGACAGTGGAAACAATTACTTACATTAAAATGATGCATGTGTAGAAGCAACGCACCGCTGTGTCGGATGTCTCAAATGAAACACGTGAGCGAAAAACCACAGTCCACAGTTAGAGAGCAGGGAGGTCGGAGAGATGGAGGCATCTTTGCTAGACGCGTCGGGGTATAATTTCGAGAACGACCCGTTTTCGCCAAAACTCCTACCGATACGTTTCTTGCATCTAACAAAACGGTTGTAATTTAACAAACAAAAATCAAAACATCACAAATTAATGTCAATGAGAACCATTTGTATTACAACAAATAAAATATAACCTACACTTTAGTGTAAACTCTATCTTAGCCGCATACATGAAAACTATATAAACACTATATTTTGGTCAGTAAAAAATAAAATTTGGTATATCATCAGTGTGTCCATATATTTATTCTCATATAAAAGTTGAGATGCAAACTCAAACAAACAAAATACATGGTAATCATAATTCTAACTAACCAATTAACCTTAATATTAGCAATTCTAATCCTAATCTTTCAATCCAACGTTCTAACAAACTCATATTTTCCTCCATACCCTATCTACTCATTCAAATCATTCGATCCACCGTAGAGGCCGAGGAGGAGCTTCGTTACCTTGACAAGGCCGAGGAGGAGCTTCGGGAAAGATAGGGAGGAGAACGCTAAGGGAGGGAAATTCGACGGCCGGCCGTGGGGGAGCCGGGAGGCAATGGCGGGCTAGGAGGCGCATTGGCAGGGGTAGGGCGACACGGAGGCAGCTGCTTTGCCCTGGAGACTGAAACAGAGAGGGAGGAAAGGCTCTGTTGCAGGCCTATATAGCCGGCTCTGCCGCGCCCTGGGCGGTGGCGCGTCACTGCCGCGCTATGATGCGTGGCGCGTCACCGCCGCGCCACGATCGGTGACGCGGCAGAGCCAGCCACGTCACCGGTCAGGCCCCTGGTTCCTGCCACGTGGGCAAGCTTGCCGCGCCCCCATACATGGCGCGGCAGCGTTAAATCGCCACGTCGTACGAATAGGAGTGGCAAAAAATGTTAGATTTGAAAAAAAATAAACAGTATTAGTTTTAAAATTAGTTTAAAAATATGTTAAAAATAAAAAAAATCGAGGCGGATGCGTGCGTCGCCTGCTGGATTGGGGCGTCGGGGTCAGAGGCGGCGTGGCGTCGCTTTCCGCTCTCGAGCCGGCCCGATCGGCGCGCGGTCCGCCCCATTAATGCCTTCCGTTAGGTTCAATGGATCTGCCCGCGCAGGGCGGCAGGGGCAGCAGCAGCACCCGAGAAAATGCGTGCGCCTGGGCCGGGCGACGCTGCTGGTCGCCTCGGGCATCTTGAATTCCACTGCCCTGTCGCTGATTCTAGTAGCAGCCTGGATACATTGCATGTAGGCCCCGTTTAGATTCTAAAAATTTTTGCGCAGTATCTGTTACATCGAATCTTACGACTAATGTATAAAGTACTAAATGTAGATGAAAAAAAACTAATTATACAGTTGGGTGAGAAATCGCGAGACGAAACTTTTAAACCTAATTAGTCCATAATTAGATACTAATTGCCAAATATAAACGAAAATGCTTCAGTAGCCAAAATCAAAAAAAAAATTGGATCTAAACGGGTCTAAGCCGAACCCAAAGGCCACGAAGGCACGAACAGTGAACCGCCTTGCCATTTGCTCCGCCCGCAGCTTGGCTGTTTGGAGCGCTGACTGACCGGGTAAGTGTCTCTGTCAGTGCCTGTGCTCGAACCAAATACACCCTAGGTTATACTCCCTCAATCGATCCGAAAAAATATAATTCTAACTTTAAAACCAGACAAACTCTAAGGTTTACTATTTTTTTTAAATAATGTTCACATTTATGTCTCCAAGTAGGTTTATTATACTAGTATATTACATAGTTAATCTTATGATACTTATTCTGTATCATAAGTGTTACTCTCCTCTCTAATTTAAATTATAATTTGTTGTAGCCTTTTCTAGTTACACAGTTTTTGTTATACACCTAGATATATATTATACAAAAGCTATGTATATAGAAAAAATAGAATGACTACTCTTTTTTTTTCTATAGATTTGGTAGTATTTTTATTCCTTTTTCCAATTTGCGGGCATCGGGAGATAAGCAACACCCTCGATCAGCGTAGGTGTCTCTATTGTTTACCACCCAAACAACACCCTCAGCGTAGCGTACCACCCGAATGCGCACAAAACGTTTGAACCACTTCCCGAAAAGAGAGGGTAAAATGTCAGCTCACACCAGATCGATGCTTTCCTGATTCCGTATCACTTACTTAAAAATCAAGAGAGGGAGAGAGCGAAAAAAAAATATAGCGAAGAGCTCATTTGACAAGAAGTCGAAAGTCGAAACCCAACGTTGATGCTTCAACTGCATGCGCGTCATCGAGACAGAATGTTCGACACCGATTCATTCGTCACGGATCAGAGGCGTTTCTTCCATTTCCGTCACACCGTTGTTTCTTGTCTCCTAATTAAGAACGACTATAATTGAGGTGCCGGTGCAACCGAAGACACGGCGCTAGCTGCTGCGCCATGCATGTCCTGAACCCTTATCCTGATTCCTGTGGAATATCAGACAGCCAGGCTGCTCATCAGGGCGTACGTGCAACCCTCTGCCTGCCTGTCCGCACGCCATGCAAGCCGCTAGAGAGAGCTAACGGTTTTATCTGCATCCATAGCTTAGCTGTAGCTTCTACAGCTACAATCCTGCCGAAGCAGAGGATTGGTCACAACTGAAAGGCAAGAGAAAGAGGAGCACCAGCAAGAAAGCTACTACTTGAGCATTGATTGATAATACTCGTGCAGATTTCTCACATGATCTTTATTTTACTTTATACTTGCACATGGGTAAATAAAAATTCCCCGGGCATGTACCACGCGTGATTTCGTTATAAGCAACCTCGGATCCCCCGTGTAAAGAAAGAAACCGACCTGTTAGCGATCGCGCATTCACGCCTTGTCACATACCGCCGCCGCCCCCCGTCCTGCTCATCGGCGTCACGTAACGCTGCGAGCTGCGTTCACCGGTCAGCGTCGCGTAATCGTCGCAGCGGCCCAACCCACCCCCACCCTCGGGCGTCGTGGCTCCCAAACCGGCGGGGCGACGAGGCGTCCGCGGCGGCAGATTTCACCCAGCCCGTGTGGCCGTGTCCGTGTCCCGGTGTCCGTCCGCCGGGTCCAAGAGCAGGGCAGGGGGCGCCCATCCACTCCGCTTCCTTCGAGAAGAGAGGTTGGAGCGAACAGCGGTTTTGCCCGGGTTGTGACGCCGTTTCCGCGGTCGCGGCCCCGTGGTTTTTCTGCTTTGCGCCCCGCGACAGGGTCAACTGGTCAAGGCACACGCAGGGGGGACGCCCCGTTCCGTTAGGACTTCGGACGCCGCACGCTATACTATATATACGCCGCTAGCCGCGCGAGCTGTCTCAGGCTCTCAGCTCTCTTCTAACCTTCTTTCCTTTCCCTCTCGCCGCCGGCCGACTCTCTTCTCCGACTCCGATCCCTCCACAGCCGCGACCAAGCAAGCAAAGCAACTAAGCAATCAAAGCGCATTTGCCTCCGGTAGGTGGATTCCTGGAGCTGATCGATCGGCGTACCACACGATGTCTGCGACGGCGCAGCCGTGGGGGTCGATGTTCTGCTGCGTGAGCGGCGGCGCGGTTTCGGGCGAGGACGACGGGCCGTCGCCGCCGCCGCCGCGGCGGAGGGCAGCCGCAGCCGGAGGAGGGACCGGGGAGCGGCTCCTGCTGCTGCAGCCCTCGACGTCGGCGTCGCGGGTGTCGCTGTCGAGCCTCAGCTCATCGGGGACGCTGACGCCCGAGGACCTGTCCGTGACGCTGTCCGGGTCCAACCTGCACGCCTTCACGTACGCCGAGCTGAGGGCCGTCACGGGGGGCTTCTCCCGCGCCAACTACCTGGGATCCGGCGGGTTCGGCCCCGTCTACAGGGGCCGCGTCGACGCCGGCCTGCGCAAAGGGCTGGACGCGCAGCAGGTGGCCGTCAAGTACCTCGACCTCGACGGCACCGGCACGCAGGGCCACCGGGAGTGGCTCGCCGAGGTCTTCTTCCTCGGCCAGCTCCGGCACGACAACCTGGTCAAGCTCGTCGGGTACTGCTACGAGGATGAGCACCGGATGCTGGTGTACGAGTACATGAGCAACCAGAGCCTCGAGAAGCACCTCTTCAGAAGTGAGTACTCCGACTCCTGCAGCACAAAATTCACGTGTCTGTTGTCTCCATCGTTAACTTTTGCTAGTGGTACGGAGTTCATGATGAAATTAAGTAGAGTGGTTAGCCAAACAATTGGCGTCGTTTAATCATATTTATTCAGAATAGCTTTGGTTTGACGAAGCGTCGTGCCAACTGCGTGCGTGCAGGTCTCGACGGCTCCATGCCATGGACGAGGAGGATGAAGATCGCCGTCGGCGCGGCCAGGGCCTCGCCTTCCTCCACGACGCAGACACGCCGGTGATCTACCGGGACTTCAAGGCCTCCAACATCCTGCTTGACGAGGTGAGCGACCGATCCACGTCCAGCGTGAGAATTCTGCGCATTCTTTTCGTTGCGCTTGCAATGGACTACTGGAGTCTAGTGGTAGGTGGTTTCGACGCTAGGAAAAGCACGGTCATTTCTGACGCATACGGCTCGCTGCTTTCCACGGTAGCTCTTGCGTAGCTGTAGAAAAGGATATAGTGACGACACCTACCTACCTTGTGGCTGCCTTAGCAAAATCAGAAAATTCATTCGTTACGGAAATCATTCATATAAAGCTCAGTACAAATCCACTTTTCGAGAGATTTGACCCTGAATCGTCCATAGGAAATGGATGTCAAAGTCGTCTGCCACGCGTTCCAAAATTGTTGGCTGGGTTCGATAGAAGACCAGCCCCGGCATGCATGATTGCAACTTGGAAGTTTCTTGGATGCCCAATTCCTATTTACCAATCCCAGCTCATGCAGTCCGCTACCAACATAATGGCAACATGTATAATTAAAAAGAATCTGCACTGCATTATTTTTCTTGGCACCAAATCAAATCACTAGTAGTAGCTTAAACAGCTTGATGCTGCCTGACAGTGATAGTCTGAGAGGGCCGGGGCGTTGTCTTAGCATCCAAGCATGTAATTGTCACCTATGAACGAATGCGATCTTCGCCTAACTCAATCTGGTTCTTTGGATTTTCAGGACTACAACACCAAGTTGTCGGACTTCGGGCTCGCCAAGGACGGGCCTCAGGGCGACGCGACCCATGTCACAACGCGCGTGATGGGGACAAACGGATACGCGGCGCCAGAGTACATCATGACGGGGCACCTGACCGCCAAGAGCGACGTCTACAGCTTCGGGGTGGTGCTCCTGGAGCTCCTGACGGGCCGGCGGTCTGTCGACCGGGCTCGGCGGCCCAGGGAGCAGAGCCTGGTGGATTGGGCCAGGCCCTACCTCAGGAAGCCCGACAAGCTGTACCGGGTCATGGACCCGGCCATGGAGTGCCAGTACTCGTGCCGAGGGGCTGAACGGGCTGCTATGGTGGCGTACAAGTGCCTGAGCCAGAACCCGAAGTCTAGGCCCACCATGAGGGAGGTGGTCCAGTCCCTGGAGCCCGTCCTGGACATGGACGACTACCTCCAGATCGGCCCGTTTGTGTTCACCGTCGTAGTGGAAGATGGCGACGGCAAGAGCAACGACGGTGGCGAAGGCAAGGTTGTTGACGGGGAGAAGGTTGACGTGACGATAGAGACGACGGTGGAGGAGAAGAAGCAGCACCACATGAGCCACCAGGACCGGCACCGGCAGAAGTTCCCCAACTCGGCGGTCCACGCTGACGTGGTGCTGCATTACCGGGACGGCGGCGAACTCGGCCCGCACATTAGCGCGCTGCGGCGGCACCGGAGGACGTCCAGCTACGTCAAGGAGAGAGGGGCGTAGTAGGCGCGTAGTAGCTCTCATGGTTAATTAGCATGGCAATTGGCACGTACTACTACTAGTGTGTTAGGAGAGAAGCAGCAAATTAAAAGGACAGATTAATGTGTACATAAATTTAAGCTAGATCGTAGGTGGGTGTGGCACAGCAAGACACAACAGAACCACGCCGCATTGGTTTGGTTGCGAAACTTTTTGTTCAATTTTTTGGTTCCTATTCGAGAAAAATTTGTTTGGTTCCTGTTAGTCATAATTTTTTGGTTCCTGTTAGTCATAATTGGTGTAACTGCCCATTTGGTGACATAATTATATATACCTTGTCCAATGGCATCACATTTGTCATCTCTACTTAATTGTGCAGCGAATTGGTCACTGAACAGGTGTTGTGCAACAAAATGACCAAAGCGATACTTTTTAGATGGAGCAAGTTTCATTTAAAATAAAATAAAGTTCTAGCCTATGTAACTCGGTGGTACATAGTCATTACTTCCTCCGATTTCATAAAGGATGTCGTTTTGGATAACGATACGGTCTCTGAAAAACAACTTTGACCGTTACTTTTTGCTATAAAATATTTATAAAATATAGTCAGTATATACTTTTATGAAACTATATTTTGAGATGAATCTACTTACATCACTTTCATATTTTTAAACTCAACCCAAAAGAATTTATTTATAGTTAAAATTTAAACTGTTTGACATAAGACAACCACAAAACGACATCCTTTAGAAAACCGGAGGGAGTACAAAATAATAAAGAATCAAAAAGAAAATAAGAAAACAAGAATGGGATCTAGTATATTCTAAGCGACATATAGTCTCAGACTCTAGGTACAAGTACAACCTAAAACCACCTATCAATCTTCTTTTCATCTACAAAGAAAAAGCTTCATGCAGTTGCTCCTATTCTCTTGCACTGCGAGAGATAGTCACAATTTATGGTTGTGTTTGATTTGGGGACCAGAGTAGACGGGATGGTCTCAATTCTAGGATAGAATAGTCCTAGATCGCTTTTTGGTTGGAGAGAATGGTCGCCCTTATTTTTAGCGGCAGTGCTAGCGTCCGGACGTCCGCGCCTACACTCCGTCTCCCCCCGCGCACCTGCATCCCACGCCCGCCTACACGGGGCCTGCGCTACCCAACCCGTTCGACTATACGTGGGGAGTCCCCGCCCGCACCCTCTCCGCTTCTCACGTGCATGCACGTGACCAGTAGGTGACTACAGCAGGTGGCTACGCCAACATCCATAAGAGGGGGGTAATGGATGCTCACCAATATGGGAGGAGGAGGAGGAGACACCGATGCGAAGGTGAGGCAGCAAAAAAGCGAAGATAGAGATACAACACCCAATCTACTTTTAAAGCATCCGGATGCAAAGACTTGCAACATACGTCTGAAGGCAAATGAAACACATGAAACATGCATCCGAAACAATAGCTGCAATACCAGATTTACTTTTGAAACATCCAGAAACACTTGTAACATACGTAAGAAACAACTGAAACACTCGAAACATGCGTATGAAACACTTACAAAAAAACACCTGAGAACACTTCATATGTGTGACAACACATGCAACATCCAGATGAAACGCTTACAAACATACGTCTACAAAACGAGATGAAACATTTGGAACATACACTTGAAACATATGTGTATAGCTACTGCAACATGTGCAACATCAAGATGAAACACATGCAATATCCAAATAAAACACTTGAAACATTTTACAACATGGGCTTTGCTTGGACGAATGGAGGCACGCTGGCGCCGAGGTCGACAGCGGCGCATGGACCTCGCTATGTGGCAGCGTCACGGGCAACTCGCTGATGGGCGCAACGTCACACAAATCTCGGCCCCATCGCCGCTTGTTGGAGCATCCATTGTGGAGGCTCAGCGGCTCGGTGGAGGTGGCCGTGGCTCGCCCATTTCGGTGGAGGTGGTTGCGGCGGCGAAGCGGGCCATGGTGAAGAGGCAACATGATGGAGCACGGGCGAGGCGGACTAGGCCCGGTGGGGAATGCGGCGTGGGATGGGGTGCTGCTGTGGGGACCAGTGGCGGTGAGGAAGTGGGGTGGGAACGGAGACACAGGAGAAAACAACACAATGAGCATCAAGCGCAGACGGGATGGGTAGATAGGTCGTTGCTGCAGCGAGCGGCGCGCGGGGAGTGTGGTGGGAGAGACGTTCGTCTATCCGAACGTCTTAATTGTATCATTATTGTATTTTTAGTCTAGTTCTGAGTACCATCTATAACACCTATGCAAAAATTATGTATGGCCCATCTCCCACATGGAATGAGCCCATACGTATAATATACCTCTTACATTTTTAACACTCACTTCATGTAAAAGGAATCCGTAGATTCTACATTTTGAAACAAAAGCGATAATGATGCCCTCAGGGCATTCCGGACAGACCGACCCGCCCACACCCGCGCACCGCCCGCACCTCGCGTGAAAAAACCAAAGCTTCTTGAGTCCTCTGACCATTCTGATATGAAGTAGCAGCAACAACTACACTGCTACAGGAGGGCTTCAACCTCAACGTCCCCTTTGACTCTGATGCCGTGGAGCTCTCTGGGTCAGATGCGAGGCTAATGAGCTCTTGGGCTCGAACGCTGATGCTGACGGAGGCTCCAGCAACGACGACGATGTGGATGAGGAGGACCACATTGCAACCACTGTTGGTATTTCTTAACGCATACAGAAATAATCTGCAAGCGCGGAATTACCGTTGTTGCATTTCATCAGGAAGTATTCGTGGTATTGTATTTCCACAAGGAACGGATGTGTAAAAGTCTCTTAGCTAGTTCACCCAAGATAACAAGAAGAAAGATAGGTCGGTAGCAAGGTTTTCTAAGGATAGAGATTCTAAGTTAAGATAGCTTTGCCCTATGGACTTGCTTCGGGTAGCGGATAACACTTGGTCTACCAAGCGTTGCTAGCCTATGGCACTATACCGAACCCGAACGTGGGGGATTACAAGGGACGGATAGGGCTGTCACCACCTGCTGCCTACCCCTCAAACGTGGGGAACGAGGCAAACAGAGGTAGCCTCTAGCCTAGACACCACGTCTATGCTATCGACTACTACTCTAGCATTGATCAGGGTTATCCGTCTTTATTAGGGCCCTTTACTAGAGTATTCATCACAAGGACGAATGATGAACCTGTAACTAAATAATGAACAAGACTAACTTAAAGTAGAACTCACCGCCGAAGATAAACACGAACCTTACACTCCAAGTAGTATTCGGATCATAGAGGTACAAGTGGAGAGGAGCCAATGATTCCTGGCATTCCTTCCGCTAAGTGTACAAGGGGCCCCGAGTACACAATAGGAGGTAGCCGACAACTCTGGTACTTCTCCATTCTTACTCACTCACTCCCTACACTAGAACTAGCTAGAGAGCTAAGATAGGAATGAAGCTCTTCTCTTCTTGTCATATTGTGTCTCTTGTGTTGTGTCTTTATGTGTTGTTAAAAGAGGAGGGGGTGGCCTCCTTTTATAGGTGGAGAGGAGGGAATCATCCTTGGAATATGCTTGATCCTCTCATTAAAGCACCAAACCAACCTCAAACGGACGTCCTAGATACGTTGAACCTGGCCAACCCCTACGGAACCGTCATTGCAAAGGCGATAGCTGATAACCTGCCAAAAATGGGCCCAAGAGGCACTAGTGGTGGTGCGGGCGCACCTGGGGTGCGGCCGTACCCCAACTGGGCCCAAATGGCCCATCTTCGGTGGGTTGCTTTCCTTGGGCCTCTAGATGGGTCCTGTTGAGTTTGGCGCCATTTGGAGTTGATTTGATATGGGTTTTGACCTTTTTTCTCCATGGGACTGGGCCCTGATTTGCCTGGTAAGTGGGCCTTCCCCCTTGGGCTCCTGTCGGGTGTTTGTCTTACTATGTTCTTTGTGTACTTTTGACACGTTTCTTGAGTTATCCCGACATGTCCTCCTACAATTGATGAATCACCAAAACTCATGGAATTTTGTCAGTTATGAGCCCTAATTCTAAGTTTGGTGTTTGTTTGGATGGATTTTATATAAGTGTTGGCGGGTAAAAGTGTGAGTTAAGGATCGCCAACAACCACCATGCCCCTCAGCGCCCTCCATCCGGCGCCACGCCCACTCTAGCACGCCCCCGCCATCCCCCGCGGCACCTCCATCCCCCGCTCTACGTTGCGTCCTATGAAAGAAGGGTGAAAAACGCATGTTACAAGCGTACATTTCAAGTGTTTCAGATGTTTTAAAGATATATTGCAAGTGTTTCAGATGAATGTTGCAAAAGTAGATCGGATGTTGCATATGTTGCAATAGTTGTACAATATGTTACAAGCGTCTGTTCCTAATGTTTCATCTGTGTTTTTGGACGTACGTTGCAAGTGTGTTTATGTGGATGTTGTATATGTTTCACACATATGTTGTAAGTGTTTTATCTAGATGTTGCGTATGTTTGCAATAGTTTCACATGTTTTTAGGTGTTTTTTCAAGTGTTTCAGATGCTTGTTTTAAGTGTTTCATCGGTCTTCATACATATGTTGCAAATGTTGCATCTGGATGTTTCTAAAGTAGATTGGGTATTGCATCTTCCTCCTCGCTTTTTTTGCTTGCATCCTTCTCGGACCGTAGAGGGGCGTGATGAGGTCGGTGGGAGGGGAGCGCCGGGGATGGTGGCGTTGGACGCAAGCTAATGCTCTCCCTTCTCTACATACGCAAGCGGAATAGGATTTTCGTTGGACTCAGCTTGATGGGCGTGGTTACCGCTGCGCTGCCATGCTAGCCCAAGCCCCGTGACGAGTCACGGTTTGTTTGGTTCACGTGATTTCCCTTCTGCATTACATACGCAAGCAGAATAGGATTTCCATTGGACTCAGCTTTTTTAGAAGAATCCGTTGAACTCCAATTGGTGGGTAGGGTTATCGCTTCCATTGCCACCGAAGCCCACGTGACGAGTCACGGTTTGTTGGTGGGAGCCTTCCGTTGCTAGCCCAAGCCTACGTCGTATTAATACACGGTTTGTTGGTGGGAGCAGCGTCCGGACGTGCCGCTAGGGGCGGACATCCGTGTGTTAGTGCCTCCGAAACAAATCCGTTGGACTCCAGTCGATGGGCAGAGATACCGCTTCCATTGCCAGCCCAAGCCCATGTATCGAGTCATGGTTGGGTGGTGGGAGCCGTGGTCCAACACGCCATTGGGCTGGACATCCGGCGCTAGTGCCTCCAAAACAAAAAAAGATTATAAGTTGATCAAACCCATTTTAAAGCAATCAATGTGATACTAATCTCTACAACTAAAACATTCATAAGTATTCCGTCCACGGTTGCGACACCAAAGCCGCTCCATGTGATCAGATCAGGAAGGCAACGCGCACTCGCTCCTTACGATCAGCTCAATCCCCATAATAGCCACGGCAAATCGGGAAGGCAAAAATCAATCCCCATAATCGCCGCTGCATGCACCACACGTCGGCCACGCCGCTCATGTTCCTGCCACCAACGCCGCTCCGTCGCCGTCGTCTCCTTGGGCACCGGGCCTCCCTCCTTCATTGCCTCTACAAGAGCAAAGCTATAGGCCCACCACCACCATCATCCACCCACAGGGACGGCTCCGTGGTGCTCCAAGCGGACCTCAACGCCACGCAGGCCACGCTCGTCGCTGGCCGTGTCAACCTTGTGGACCTCCACGCCCACGTCCGCACCGCCAACGAGCTCCTCCAGACACTCCTCCAAGCCATGGAGGACCACGGTGGTCGGGACCTCCTTATGACGCCTGACTGCGGATGGAAGCGCAAGCCCACCACCGAGCTCAGCCGGTCGTCGCCCTTTGCATCGCAAGGTGGCCGGGCTGCGCGCGGGAGAGGTGTTTCGGTGGTGGGCCACGCGTGTCGTCCGCATCCGTGACGACACAGAACGCTACATGGACTACACGCTCGGCGGAGAGTGCCCGTTCGACGAAGCCGCTCGCGATAGGCTCATGCTTAGCGGCGTGGTATTTGCGCCGCTGCCGCCGGTGTCGCTGCGCGTCCCCAAAAGGGGTACCCGCGCCGCTGCCGCTGCCCCGAGCCTCGGACCACGCTGCCGGACACCACCATCGTGTGGAACGCGTACGCATGCAAGAACTACTTGTGCCTCGTGGCCGCCGCCCACGGCGGTGGCATCAGTGGCTGCAACGACGGATGCTTCGACCCGCTTCGTGGGTGGGGGAATAAGAATAAGGCCAACAGATGGGCGCGCGATGACGACGCGCTGTCCTACTCCATCGATGCCGTGCTCCGTGCGCGGCCCAACGGCACGGTACGCATCGGCCTGGACCTCGGCGGCGGCTCCCCCTCCGGCACGTTCACGGCGTGGATGCTGGAGCGCGCGCGGGTCACCGTGCTCACCGCGGCCATCAACTCCGGCGCGCCGTTCGACAGCTTCGTCGTGTCGCGCGGCTTGGGGCCGCTGCACGTCACCGCCGCGCATCGGCTGCCCCTGTTCGACGGTACCATGGACATCGTGCACGCCGGGCATGACCTCGGCGGAGGTGGGTGGATGGCCCCGGCGTGATCTTTGGAGTTATATTGCTCGACGTGTATAGGGTGCTCGAGCCGGGGCTTGTTCGGCTGGACCACTTTGTCTCAAGGCCACAGACAATTGAACGCGATGTTCACGCCGATGATTGATCGCGTCGGGTTCAGGAAGCTGTGTGGAACACCGGCAGGGGAAAGGAGAAGGAGAAGTGGTACGTGTCGGCCGCCGTTGGAGAAGCCCATGACATGAGCATGAGAACATTTGTGTGCGTTTGTTTTTTACAGGGAAATTGTGGCTGTAATAATCCTATAAATTATGTCTTGTTCATTTTTGCTTCTGGTGTACTATGACTTTTTGCCCAATTGCAGAAAAATGCAATACATTACGTGTCAGCTTCCTTTTGGTTGATAATTGTCTAAGACCAAAAAGAAATTTAGCGAATTACGGTGTCTAATTGAAAATTTTTGAGGTGAAATTAGAATCTCTACAACTAAAACATTCATAACTAAATCTTCTGGATCATCATTGATTGGTGACCAATTGTAGCTTGGTATTCGTGCAAAGCACGTTCTCTTAGTCGAACTATTGAGAGATTAGATTCTTAATTGTAGAATAGATTATAAAACATGTATTATGAAACACAAACATGTTATGATTATCTTTCCGTAGCATTTGATTTCTAAAGAAGTGCAAGCTTATCTTTCGCGTATCGTAGGCATGAAGTGATGCGACAATTGAAGTTGATGTTTTAGTTTTGCATTCAAATTTAGAGTTATATTTTAACTATCTATCTTTCGTGAAGACTTATGTAATATTGATTGGAATATTATGATTGCGGTATCTATTTTAAATAACAGTATAACACACGCTCATACATATGTTATCGTGGCATTATATGTTCCCGTTGCAACGTATGGGCATTTACCTACTTTCACTGAAACACAACGCATATGCCACAATCCGGCCCAAGCCAGAACAAATGGACCGGGATATGTCATGTTCTACAAATTTTCCAGGTGGCCGAGTCCGTTGAAGGTCCAAGGCCCAAACCCCGCCCTTGCAGTTGCAGTGCTACGAGCCTACATCCCGGACAGCCGTACCTCCGGGCCTCCAAGGTCACACCGTCCTCCGGTCAACCTCTGCTTCAGCCTTCAGCAGCCAAGCGAACAGGGCATCTTGCGAATTAAGTGTCACCGTCATCCACCAAAGCCTGGATATTCTACACTCCTTTACTGTCATTTTTCCAAAGCCTTGAGTCATCACATATATTAAATGAAACTGAAACTTAATATGAAAATGAAACTGACAGAACCTAGAAGTGTACAGAACAATTTGTAATTACTAGCAGTAGTTGTCTAATGATGAAATATGGCGCAAGTAGCATATGAAAATGAAACTCACAGAACCTAGCAGTGTACAGAACAATTTGCAATGACTAGCAGTTGTTGTCTAGTGATAAAATCTGAATACGCGGGACATCGCAAGACCAACACGACACCAGCAGATTGGTGGAATCAGTCTGAGATGCAATTGAATTAAATGGACTGAACTACTGAAGTAACCGTCAGCGACTGCTCTAAAGAGCTTCACCAACTCAACTGAATGAGTCTCCGGCAGACGGCTCAAGACAACTGTAAATCTTGCAGAGTAAGCTCTCGGCACATCTCTCTTAGCTCAGTTCTCTTCCATTCTATAAGAAAACTGAAGCCTGAGTGAAGAGAGCTTTAAGAAGATAGAAGCGCCTTTACCATATGCAGGCATGTCCCCTATTGGTAAGTTCCTGAATCCTGGCACTCGTCCTTGCATCTTCACATATATACATGTATGGATCACCTTCTTCTTTGTTTTCTTTTTTCATATAGAGTTATACTTCATCTTTGTTTTCTGTTTGGTTTACTGAATCGCTTCCTCTCTATCAAGCAAACAGATTTATAGTGCACTGACTGTGGTTCTGTTTCTGAAAAGCAAACACACGGAGGATACTTTCAGAAAGCATGAAGCTATTGGCTTTCGGTTTAGTCTTATTGAGCTTCTTGCAATCTTTTGCTACATCTGACTACCAAGGTAAGGCCTGATTTATATCTGTTTGCCGCATCAGATATACCTATTTTGCAGAAATTAGACAAGCAACAAACATATTTAAATTGTGAATTCGACTCTCAACACTGAAGTGTCTGTCGGTAAATGATGGGTCCATTTTTTTTTTTGTACAAGTGACCAGCCATATGTTTCAGTTTAAAATTCCAGAAGAAATTCATAGGATAGATTCTGAAGCAAGAATGGTGCATATCAACTGTGTAATCCCTTCACTTGATTACTGTTTTTCTTTCAAGATAAAACCACACATCTATGGAGCATTGGTAATTTTTGTCAATCAGAAGATTTCACCAGTTTTTGTTCCTTTTTTGAAAGATTTTTGTCTCCTTGCATCTACCTCACAAACCCGCAAATAAACTTTGTTAGGAGAGATGCAGCAAAAGGAGAGATTAATGTGTACATAATTAAGCTAGATCGTAGATGGGTGCGGCACAGCAAGACACAGAAGACAGAACCATGCCGCATTGGTTTGGTTGCGAAATTTTTTTGTTCAACTTTTTGGTTCGTGTTAGTCATAATTGGTGTAACTGCCCATGGTGACATAATTATATATACCTTGTCCAGTGACATCACATTTGTCATCTCGACTTAATTGTGCAGCGAATTGGTCACTGAACAGGTGTTGTGCAAAACTCTCAATGACCAAAGCGCGTTACTTTTTAGATGAAGTTTTCATTTAAAATAAAATAAAGTTCTCGCCTCTGTAACTCGGTGGTAATAGTCATTACAAAATAAAATAATGAAGTATCAAAATAAAATAAGAAAACAAGAATGTGATCTAGTATACTCTAATTATGCTACATATATATAGTCTCAAACTCAAGATACAGCTTAAAACCACCAATCAATCTTCTTTTCATCTTCAGAGAGAGCTTGACGCAGTTGCTCCTATTCTCTTGCACTACGAGAGATGGTCAAAATTCATGGTTGAGTTTGGTTTATGGACAAGAGGAGATGAGACGATCTCATCTCTGTTTTCTAGGATGGAACAGTACTAATTCGTATTTGGTTGGAGTGATGGGATCGTCCTTGTTTTTAATTTGGTTCAGAGTATATATATGAAAACGGGATGATTGGAAAAATGACGTGAGTACTTGAAGCAAAAATTTCTAAAACGGAGAGCAAACCGTAGGAGCTGCTCCTGGAGCCTGCACCTCCCTCCCACCCTTCCCCACCCTGCACCCTGCACCCTGCACCCGCCACACCTCCCTCCCCAGCCACGCGTGGAAGCCGGCAAGCCCGCCGTGCGGGCGGCGGCCCCGCACCCGCCTGCTTCAGATCCACGGCGCCCTTTGCGGCGGCCTCCCCCGACGCCGCGGTGGATCCGGCATCACGGCCATGCCTTGCACGGGAGCCAGCTCTTGCAGACACCTGCGCTGCGTGGCCGCCCCCCCCCGCCTGCGGTGCCCTCGCGTCGCCTCCTTGTCGATTGATCTGGTGGCGCTGCCGCCTCCTAGCTGCTGCAATGACGCCGCTGGCTGGCCCGGCCGGCAGGTGGAGTAGGTGCGGCGACGGCGGACCTCCTCCACCCCCTCCGCAGGTGGAGTAGCCCAGACTCGTTTAGTCATAGTTTTGGGGTGCGGCAAAGCGGACGCTGGACAAGAGGACCTGCGTGAAGGCGGAGGGAGCGCAGCCGTCCGTGCCCCGGTGGTGCGCTTCTGCTGTTCGCCGGTGGATGGCCACATCCCTGCCCGCCAATGCCTCAGCTGCCGCGGAGGGGTCTCCGCCCCCAACGTCGATGGGTGAGGTCCTCCCCCCGATGGGTCGAGCCTTGTTCAAACCAGCTCCCGTAGGCCTAAGGATCCCCGCAGAGCTTCGTGACAGGTGTTTCAATTGTTTGTCCTACTCGCACCGAGTAGCGACTAGCTGGTTGCCACGATGTTGCCTGCATTGCCACGGCTTTCGCCACCTCGCTAGGGATTGCAAGCGGCCTAGGTCTCTGCAACAACGGTGGCGAAGGGTGCTAGCCTCCCAGCACGCACCCTGCGGTGGTCCACCGAGCTCGGACAGGGCCGCGCAGGGTGCTGCGGTGGGCACCGACGAAACCCATCGACAACGGAGGAAGCCGGCGAGGGACACCAACGTCGCTCCCTCTGCTGCAGCACACTGCTGGTGTTGCAACTATGCGCGAGCGCGAGGTCTCCCACCTGGGTGGACCCAATACTGGAGGAGCTCGATGCCTTGCTCGTCGTCACCCGGCCTGCAGGAGCACAACACCTGGGAGCCCGCCTCTGGCGCCCGCCTCTCAAGTTGTTGGAGCATTGACGGAGGCTTCCCGCCAGACGATGGACTCACCTCCATTGTCGCCGGTGTAGGGAAGCCACAAGTCACGCCACCACGGGGGAAGCCCGGTGTCGTGGATGCCGAGGCGTGCCCAAGCCACCAAGGCAAGGACGCAGCCACTCCTCCCCGGCCCATGTGCCCAGCGCTAGCCAGCGCCAACGTCAGGGCAACCACCCTGGGAGACGCGGCGATCGTGGCTACGCCGGACGGTGTCAATCGCACTCCTTTACCTTAAACGACCTCGGCCGATAGACGCCTCAAGCGCTTCACCGAGCAAATCACAAAGAGGAGGTAGCCGCCACTCCTAGAGCTGCCTCGAGATGATGCGGCCATCGACGGACGGGCACCGCCCTAGCTCCCCAAGCGAAGCAAGCGGATAGCGATGCAAAGCATAGCTCATATCCCAGCGTCCAAGCAAGGTGAGCACCTTGTCTTGAAGCGCCTGGGACTAACCAGCAATATGTCCTTTTCGTCCACATCGGCCCTAAAGGCGTATGATGAAATCTTCAGCGGTGACCCTGGTAATATGCAGGCGCTACGTGAGTTGTTCCTAGGGGACAGTGACATAGGTGCGCACAAGCAGCGCCGCCGCCGCTCTGCAGCTCGGGCAAAGACCTCGTAGCCGGTCCCGCGACTCGGGTTGATTGGTGTCCAATGTTACAGCATAACTTTCAGTACACTAGCATGGTCCAAGCGATAAAAGTACAACTCTTCTGACCCCCTAGGGCGCCGCTAAGGCGTGTTGTATTAAAATTTTCTCCACCTTAATATAAATATGCACGGACCTTTTGTGTGATCGAGAAAAAAAGCAGGATGATTCTGAGTACCATCTATAACACCTATACAAAAATTATGTGTGGCCCAACTCCCACATGGATTGAGTCCACATACGAATAATATATCTTACATTTTAACACTCGCTTCATGTAAGAGGATTAATGGAGATTCTATGCTTGAAAACGAGAAGGATTATAATCTGATTTTAAACAATCAAGGTGATACTAAATGCACTGAAACATAACACATACACCACAACAGGTCCAAACCAGAACAAATGGGCTGGGATATGTCATGTTCTACAAAATTTTCAGGTGGCCAAGTACGTTCAAGCCCCAAGTCCACAAACCCCGCCCTTGCAGTGCTGCCTACGACATTCCCGGACGGTTCACGGTCGTACCTCCGAGCCTCCAAGGTTACCGTCTTCCGGTCAAGCTCCCGCAGTCAAAAGTCTACTCTCTACCGCTGATTCAGCCTACAGCAGGACCGGCGAGACCGCGAGAGTAGACTCTTCCAGTCTAAGGGCCCATTCGTTTCGAGCGGAACGGAGTGCCGGAACCGATCTCAGCCGGAAGGCAGCTGTATTTTATACCGGTCAGCTATCACCGGGAAGCGTTCCAACCGCAAATCGACGTAAACGAACGGGCCCTAAAGAAATTTCTACACTCCTTTTCTGTCCACAGAAATTCTGCAGAATTGTCAATCCGATGAATTAAGAATCACGTCACACACCAAAACCTAGATCGAGTCATTTTTCTTACGTTTTTCTTCACCTAGATCGAGTCATATATATATATATATATATATATATATATATATATATATATATATATATATATATATATATATATATACTCCCTGGTCCCTCTGTCCCCCCAAAAAATATGCAATTTTAAATTTAGAATAAAGCAAACTTTCTTACGTTTGACTAAGTATATAGAACATAATATCAATATTTATGTCTCTAAATAAGTTTACTTTAAAACATATTTCATAAATAATCTAGTAATATTTATTTGAAATCATAAATGTTTGTATAATTTTTAATACAATTAGTTAAACTTAAAATTGTTTGACTTCTTAGGAAGTTAGAATTGCACTCTTTTTAGATGGAGAGAGTTCCTTACTCAAGGTGGATTTTACGATATAAGACAGGGCGCAACTAGCATATGAAAATGACACAAGCTAGCAGTGCACAGAACAATTTGCAATTACTGGCAGTAGTTGTCTAGTGGACCAGATAAAAATTAAATGGACTGAAGTAACCGTCAGCGACTGCTCTATCAGTAAATGAACTGATAGATCGAGCGTGTTCGGCTGGTCATGTCCCAACCTTGTTTTAGCTTGTTTCAGCTTATTCTCTTTCACATAATACTATTTAATCATCCAAAATAAGCCGTGCTACAGTAGCCATATGTACGCTCCGAACACGGGCATTAAATGGACTGAGTTACCAATTCAACAGAAAGAATCTCGGGCATGCGGTTCAAGACAAATGTAAATCTCGTAGACTCCGTTCCTTTTTAACTATCATTCTCAGTTCCCGAGAAATTAAATTTACTCAACTTCGACCAAATATATATTAAAAAACATTAATATTTATGATATTTAGTATCATTGATAGATCGTTAAATATATTTTTACAATAAATTTATTTAGAGATATAAATATTGTTAATATTTTTATAAAAACCTAGTCAAATTTAAGGAAGCTTGACTGACATGCACCTGTAGCGGCATTTATATATGGACAGCGGGAGCAAGCTCTTTGCACATCTCTCTTAGCTCAGTTCTCTTCCATTCTATAAGACAACTGAAGCCTGAGTGAAGAGAGCTGTAAGAAGATAGAAGCGCCTTTACCAGGCGCATGCATGTCCCCCTATTGGTAAGTTCCTGAATCCTGACACTCTTCCTTGCATGTTCACATATATACAACTATTGATCACCTTCTTCTTTGTTTTCTTTTTCATATAGAGTTATACTTCATCTTTGTTTTCTGATTGGTTCCTCTATCAAGCAAACAAATTCAGAGTACACTGACAGTGCTTCTGTTTCTGAAAAGCAAAACACAGAGGATACTTTCAGAAATCATGAAGCTATTGGCTTTCGGTTTAGTCTTATTGAGCTTCTTACAATCTTTTGCTACATCTGACTACCAAGGTAAGGTCTTTACTGATTTAGATCTCTTTGCCGCATCAAATATAGTACTAATCAACAAACGTACTTAAATTGTGAATTCGACTCTGAACACTGAAGTGTCTATCAGTAAATGATGGGTCCATTTTTTTTACAAGTGACCAGTCAAATGTTTCAGTTTAAAATTCTAGAAGAAATTCATAGGATAGATTCTGAAGCAAGAATGGTGCATATCAACTGTGCTTTCCCTTCGCTTGATTACTATTTTTTTCTTTCAAGGTAGATAAAACCACATCTATTGAGCATTGGTAATTTTCTGTCAATCAGAAGCATTTCACCAATTTTGGCTCCCTTTTTTAAAAAAGGAAATTTTCTCCCTTGCATCTACCTCACAAACCCGCAAATAAACTTTGTTTTATCCATAGTTGCAGCATTGTATGAAATGAGGATGCAGCTCAGTGATGATGGTGGTGTCCTAAAAGACTGGAAGGATAATCAAATGACCCCCTGCAATTGGACTAACATTGATTGTCAAGACAACAAAGTTATCGCAATGTAAGCTCATGCTATTTAATAACTCACTGTCTGAACTGTGAACTGCCATCCCTGCCCAAGTCAATTAGATCTAAACAAATTCGCATTCTAAAAAATGTGATCCAACATAGGATGGATTTTTCATTTTTCATTAAGAAGGGAAAATATAGGCACCCAAATTCAAGGCAAGAGAGGACATGAACCTGGGTGGTTGGGTGCATGACCACACCTCCCACCCAACCTGTTGAGCTAGGCTCAATTCTTAACCAAATTTAATTTGCATTCTTGCCTATTAAGATAGAGAAACCTCAATGGTTAGTACGATGTGTGTAATTTCTTTGGTTTTCTTCTTTTTCCTCTATGTAAACACTTGTTGCTTTTATTATTAATACAAGTCTAATCATTAGGGGGAATTCTGCTTTTGTTTTTGCAGAGAATTAGGGAAACCCCTTGTACCCCTTAGATCAAGTGACTTTACGTATAGCTTGCATTATAAGTCAATGTGTATAAACACACATATACATGTCTAATACACATCCAAAGTCAAAGCGGGAGGATCATGGACGCATGACTAAAATTAAACTCAGTAATCAACTTACATGCAAGCCTTTGATCATAATACCTGTAGATTGGTGAGAGGACAGAACATGCAACACTTGGACTTGTCCAAGAAACACCTTTCACGAACAAAGTATATGTCAATCTAGATGTGCTTGGTAAATGGACAATGACACCTAAGAGGGGGCGAATTATGTCACTTAAAACCTAAGGCTAAAATTCACTTATAAAAACCTACACAAATTCTATCTATATGCGAACAAGGTATCTCTATGTGTTGGTATCTCCAATGCAAAAAAAAAAAAGAATTGCACCTTAGGTTCCAATCCTATCAACTAATCTAGCAAACTAGACTAAGAAATATGAAAGGGACCGTGGACGCTTAAGAGGGGGGGTGAATTAGGCAACTTAAAACTCTAACTCTAAACTATGGTCTCTTTTTATCCTTAGCAAAAACCTATGCAAAAGATAAAATACATAAAGCGTGCAACTTCACGATTTTGCTAGTGTGTTGCTATCTCTACCGCAAAAATAAGTTATGCAACCTAGGTTCCAAACCTATCAACTAGCCTATCACTAAGCTAGAAAAGTAAAGCACAAACCAAGATTGTAATGTAAATGCGGAAGGTAAAGAGTAAGGTAGAGATATGCAAACTCCCGTCGACGACTCCGGTATTTTAACCGAGGTATCGAGAAGCGTGCAAGCTTCCCCCTTCATCTTCTTTTTCTCACTACATGTGAGAGCTTTGACTTTGCTTGATGAAGAGGCTTCTTCTTGACCCATCTTACGTGATATTTCATATGCCACTATCTTGCCAATGACTATGACTGGGGTCATGATGCTCAGTCCTCCATGTTGTGAAGGATGGTGATGATGCTTGCATATTTCTTTTGTGGTAGCACGGAGATGATCTTCCTCACGATGTCCACATTATCTAGCTTCGTTAATCATATTGAATGGAGCTCATTGATAATTAGATTCAAGCGAGAATACATACCACGAACAAGCTCATCATCATTCATTTTAAAGGAATCATAATTTTGTTTAGCTAGGTAATGTTTTTGCTCACAGACATTAGTTGTACCGTCAAGGAGTTCTTGGAGTTTTAACCAAATTTCATGTGCCATATTTAAAGTGAACACTTGGTTAAACACATCCATGCTAAAAGATTCAAACAAACAATTTTTATCTCTAGCATTGAAATGAATTTCTTTTTCTTCACTCTTTGTGGGTTTATCGGGATTCTTAATGGGTTTCATCCCGTCACAAGTGACTCTCCAAACACCTAAATCTACCGCCTCAAGGTGATTAGCCATTCTAGCTTTATAGTAGAGGAAGTTAGTGCCGTTAAAGTGCGGAGGCCTAGAGGTATCCATCTCAACCACTCTAAATAGCGTCGGCTCAACGACGGTGAAGCCAAAGGTCTAAATTGAGCCAACCGGCTCTGATACCAATTGAAAGGGACCGTGACGCCTAAGAGGAAGAGGGGTGAATTAGGCAACTTAAAACTCTAACTCTAAACTATGGCCTCTTTTTATCCTTACCAAAAACCCATGCAAAAGATAAAATACCTAAACTTGCAACTACGGTTTTGCTAGTGTGTTGCTATCTCTACCGCAAAAAGGAGTTATGCAACCTAGGTTCCAAACCTATCGACTAGCCTATCACTAAGCTAGGAAAGTAAAGCACAAACTAAGACTGTAATGTAAATGCGGAAGCTAAAGAGTAAGGTAGAGATATGCAAACTCCCATCGACGACTCCGGTATTTTTACCGAGGTATCGAGAAGCGCACAAGCTTTCCCCTAGTCCTCGTTGGAGCCCCTCGCAAGGAATCCCTTGCAAGGGCCAAGCTCCCGGTCGGGTAACTCTGTGGATAGCCCTGGGCCTTCCCCACGTGCAAGTGGGTCTCCGGTGTGCCTTCCGATAAGCCTCTCCTAGACCGGTCCCCTCTGTTTTCACTATCAAGCTTCTGGCTGAACCACCGCGGGCCTTGTTCCCTTCGATACACGGTGGCAACCACACCACAAACGCGATTGGTGTGATCTCGCAAGACTACAAGCCCCTCCGATGTACAACTATGGTGCGCGCAAGCACCAAGTGATAAGAGGTGTGCTAACCTCACTAAACACTAGGCCTAAACCTAGAGCAAGCGTATAAGCGGTGGTCTAATCAACCTAAGCACTTCGCAAAGCATCTACGCTAATCACCTAATGAATCACTAAGCACTATGTAAGTGGAGATCACTAAAATGTTGTATCAACACCCTTGGTATGTTTCCTTAGCTCTCCACATATCAAATGGCTGGTTGGGGGGTCTATTGATAAGCCCCACCGAGAAAGTAGCCGTTGGGGGAGAAACCCAGCTTTCTGCTACTGACCGGACGCTGCTGTCGTCCTGACCGGACGCGTTCAGTCGGCCCGACCGTTAAAGCACGCGCGTTGATCGAACTCTGGGCTGAGTCTGGTCTCACTCGATCGAACGCGTCCGATCACGCTGGCGCCGCTCTGGAACCTCTCTGGACTCGATCGAGATGTCAGACTTTTGTGCGTCCGGTCGTCCGGTGTCGCAAGATCCGTCCATTACCGAAAACATTGCCGTGACAAAGAATAAGTGTCATCGGTGCGTCCGGTCATCGCTTCGGCTCGATGTCCGGTCACACCGCTGACGGCATTCTTTGTTGCCGAGCAACTGATCGGACTCGTCCGGTCCCTATAAGGGCCGCATCCAGTCACCTTTGTCGAGCTCGTTTCTTCGCGATCTTGTGTCCGGCTTGGTTTCCATCTTCATGCTTGGACTATGCTTGATATCTTGGGTCTTCTCTTGTGCTTCTAGGGTCTTGCTTATGGTGTTGATCGTGGGATCATCATAGCGCCTTTTCGTCCAAGTCACGTCTTGCACCCTATTGAACTACAAAACAAATACTTACAAATTCATTAGTCCAATTTGGTTGTGTTGGTCATCAAACACCAAAATCCAAAGTAAATGGGCCTAGGGTCCATTTTCCTTACAAAAGTAAAAAGAGAACAGTAGAAAGGAATGCAAGAATATAAGTGCAAAGAGTTAAAGAATGCAAACTCCCACTTTGACGACTTTTTCTACTGAGGTATCAGAAAGCTCGTGTTTTTCACTAGTCCTTGTAGGAGCCTATCGCAAGGATGCCCTCACAAGGGCCAATCTCTTGGTTGGGGTAAGTTCGTGGATAGCTCATGGGCCTTCCCACGCACAAGTGGGTCTCTGCCAAGCCTCTCCTGGATCGCTCCCCGTCATCTTCACTTGGTGGGCATATCCTCCTCAGACACCACCAGCAGCCAGCCCACTCCACAAACATGGTTGGAGTGATGACTTACAAGCCCTAGAATGTACAACCATAGTGCATGCAAGTACCAGTAGCAAAGAGGTGTGCAAGTCTCATTAAACTCTAGGCTAACACCTAAAGCAAAGTGCTAATGTGACCTAAACCAGCTTAAGCACCAACAGATGCTTTTGTTAACTGCCCTAATCTTCTTTTATAAATATCTAATATTTTTATCTAGAACAAAAAACTATATCTGAAGGGATTGCTACTAAGTACTAACTGTTCATCACAGGAGAAGAGTTTTCTTTTGGATACCACATAATTGATTTAAATGCTTTCATGCTTCTATCATTACAAGTTTGTAATGCCATGCACTTCTCTTCATATATTTTCTTTCGTTTCTCATTTCGTGTCTTCAGAACTTTGAGCTCAAGCAGCTTAGTTGGAATCTTATCTCCAAGCATTGCAAAGATAACAACTTTACAACAATGTAAGCTCTCCTCCTAAATGAGGGTCAGTTATACATAAGCTTACTTTTTCTACATTGACGGGCATATTTTCTGATTTTTTTTTTCATATTATGGATTCAGGTTATTAGATGGGAATGTCATAAGTGGTAGAATTCACGAGGAGCTGGGAACCTATCAAGTTTGACAACTTTAAATCTAGGAAGAAATTCATTTAATGGCTCCATACCTAACTCTCTTGGTCGACTCCTAAAACTTCAAAAACCGTAAGTCAGCCCATAACACATGCTATCAAGGTTGGTCAATAAATCTAACAATTTGATAACCTTAACAGGGATCTAAGCGAAAATACATTGGAAGGGACAATCCCAATCTCTCTCTCAAATCTTTCATCACTGAATAATATGTAAGTTGGCTTTCCATGCTGATAAAACCAATAGACTTGACATGTGTCATCGATTCAACATTTTTATACTTACTGCTATTTTATTTGTTCAAACATATCAATAATTGGTCCACTATCATATATCATACTCCCTCCATTTTTAAATATATTATGTTTTTTCATTGAAAAAAAATTATGTTAAATATATTATGTTTTGGGACTGAACTAATTAGCTTGTTCTCTACTTTATATATTTGACTCACTTTTACTTTGCAGAAATCTATCAGACAACGATCTTCGTGGTGAAATACCGAAAAAACTGCTCCCAAGTTGCTCAATACAAGTATGCCAATTCTGCAATGCAGCAGACCGTGGAATATGTTAACTACTCTAAATTTATTTAGTATAAGTGCAATGTTCTATTTCTTTTCAGCTATACAGGCAACCACTTGAATTGTAGCCGACAATCAACTCCATGTAAAAAACGCACAACTAAGACAGGTAAGTCACTAAGAACTTCTCAATCCATATACATAATTGTAAGTTTCTTTTCTGTTAAAATATGTACTCACCTAAATACAAAGTAGCACAAAATCTGATCGGCCTTCCCGAAATGTGTGTTTGTTTTGTTGAATTCATTGAACAAAACACAATAATTTAAACATTGGAACAAGTATTTCAGATGTTTGCTTGGACTTCTGAAACACATGCCATCTCATGATATACATGGCTTCTCATCATGTCAGGGCCTAAAACTAAAAGTAATGTTTGGATCTTGGTTGTTGTTTCTTCTCTACTTGGAGTTGCTTTGTGCATCATCTTTTGCTTTGGACCAATCGTGTTCAGAAGCCTCAGCAAAGGTCAGATACGGAATTTTGTGCTACTTAGTACTTGCTGCTTCATCTACTTATCACGTTTTTGTTGGTAGTTTGTGACTAATGGACTACATCAATTGCTGACATAGGCAAACAGAGAGTAAGGGATAGATCAAATGTGATTGTGCACCGAGATGTAGAGCTAGTATGGGAAACAGAAGGGAACAATCCAGATTTCACATTTTTCAATTATTCACAAGTTTTGGATGCTACAAATGACTTCTCGGTAGAAAATAAACTTGGGCAAGGTGGCTTTGGTCTTGTTTACAAGGTAGTTGACCTTGGTTGATTATTTGTAACGTCTCTAGAAAACATGCATGAATGCACACAAATAGAGAAATTAACATTCTGCATGATAGAAGACTGATGATCTTGCACATCGTAGTTTCCATTGACTTGAGTTTATAGAAAAAAATTCTTTTCCACAGGGCCGGCTTCCTGATGGGTTGGAGATAGCAGTTAAAAGACTTGCTTCGCATTCTATGCAAGGTTTCAGAGAGTTTAGAAATGAAGTCCAGCTCATAGCAAAGCTCCAGCACAGAAATTTGGTTAGGTTGTTGGGATATTGCTCCCATGGGGAGGAAAAAATGCTGGTCTATGAATATATGAAGAATAAAAGCTTAGATTTCTTCATATTCGGTATAACTGTTTCAACAATTAGCCAGTCCGTTCTGTGCACTGCTTCTAAACTCTGTAGATGTTTTCTCTATTGTGTTTATGTTTAATTGATGTGCAGATGAAAAAAGAAGAACCTTACTAAATTTGGATAAACGACTCGTGATAATCGAAGGGATTGCACAAGGACTTTTATATTTGCATAAACACTCTCGGTTACGGGTTATACATAGAGATGTCAAAGCAAGCAATATTCTCTTGGACCACGAAATGAATCCTAAGATTTCTGATTTTGGGATGGCAAAAATGTTTAGCTCAAATGATAATGAAGGAAACACAGAAAGGGTTGTTGGCACATAGTAAGCTCTTTTCGGCTCCATTCTAATGATGTTATTTGCTAGCAAAATATAGCAACTCTAGTACAAAAATTGGTTCTCTTATGTTGTATTAATTACATGTGTGCCCTTGCAGTGGTTACATGGCTCCAGAGTATGCTTCCGAAGGCCTTTTCTCTACAAAATCTGATGTATTTAGCTTCGGTGTGTTAATTCTTGAGATTATCACTGGAGAAAGAAATTCAGGTTTCTATTACCATGGAAACTTCCTAAACCTACTTGGATACGTGAGTCTAGTTCATATTCACATGTGTAAATTTATTTTGATTGCATTATTACTTATGTAGTTACATATTCTACGATGAAAATTCTCATAGGCATGGAAGCTATGGAAAGAGCAAAGATGGCCTGAACTTGTGGATATATCATTGGCTACAAATGGTTGTACACTAGAGATGATGAGGTGCATCAACATTGCGTTGCTATGTGTGCAAGAGAATGTGATTGATAGGCCTACCACGTCAGACGTAGTTGCAATGCTAGGCAGTGAGGACATGGCCCTGCCTAAGCCCAAGCACCTGTGATATTTCCACATAAGGGTAGCAAATGAAGAAGCGTCCACAATTGCAAGAGACATACAAGATCAATGATGCGACTATGTCTAGCACACATGGTAGATAATATTGTAATAATTTTGTTTCATATCTGGATTTTCATGAGTATGTTTGACACTTTGTTTTGTGCTAACTCGAAACATGAGTAAAGCTGTAAACTATTTTCATTGGGTCTCACTTTTCCAAATAGAACTCTAGGATTAGGGAGGTTGTTACTTCCTCCATTGCTTGTCAAGTGAATTGATGGATTCATTTGCTAATTTTATGACAACATAGCAGTTGATCCTTTTGTCTAAAACTAAGATAAGAAACATATGCCACTCTCCAACAATTTGTATCGTCCTAAAATGCAAATTATCACATGGTATCACTATTAGGGCCGTTTGGATCCCTTCATTTTGGAGGAATTGAAATCTCACATAATGGATTAGGCTATTTGGATTGGAATTTGACATTCCATAACTTTTCCAAGCTCACAAATAAGCCTATCTAAAATTCATAGTGTGGGAGATAGAAATAGATTCTATAGATCACTATGCTATAATTCTATTCTCCAACTTATAGCACACTCTTCAACTCACTCACTTCCCTACAATAGAAATACAACATATAAGTATGTCCCTTATATGCCTAACAATAAATATACAAATGTATTTCATATACAACTATATTAGCTTAATTAATCTATGTCTAAATTGTAATTATTAGAATGAATTCAATTTCAAGGATCGAAATGGGCCTTTAGATAATTTAATCCATGTATCTATATTCATAGGTTACCTCTATCAACACTCTCACGAATACCCTTGAAAGCATCTAGGCCCCTTATCCGGCTTTAGTGTTTAATAACTAACGTGTGTTTTGCGGGGCATTCTAAGTTGGGTCACAATGATGATTGATTAATGGGCAATCGGTGGCCTTCATGCCCCTATGTTGGTTTTCAGTTTGATTTTTAAAGGATGAGTGACAAGGTTAAAGACAACTAGTTTTAAATCTCGTTTGGAGTTGTGAGACACTTAGAGTAGTTTAGGATTTTGTTTTTCCTTTGTCTGTACTTGTAAGTGCAATCAAGCCCTAATGTGGGTTTTGGTGATAATAACCATGCGATTAGAGGATTAATGAGATTATCAAGATGACAAGCAGGAAAGACGTAAAGAAGGATAACACATGTGATGATGGAGCCCCCAATTATAAAAGATTGCGGCGTTGAACTCAAAGGCGTTTAATTTATACTATATTTCAAATTTGAGTATAGGAAAAGTCGTACTACAAAGGGGCTTGAATGTGCAACCAAGTGCTCACATTTCCACTAAAAATATCCTCAAGTTTCTAGCGAAGGTAGCAAGCACTCCATTCCCTAACCTTGTGCTGCGTGGTTATCGTGGCACTGCCGCATAGGCGCATGGCACTGCCATGCTACGGTGTGACTTAACTGACCCTTGGGAAGGGGGGTATTTATACCTCTTCTTCCTCACAATGGTCATCTCGACCAGACCAACTCAACTAGTGCACTCAGCACGTTCTCTCTCTTCTCCATTGGAGACCCCAAGCTCCTAAGCATTCCCTCTTGATTTCCCATCAAATCCTCGAGAGAAAAAGGCTCCAAACTTGATTAGAGAGCAAATCCAACTGATTCCCAACTTCTAGAGCACTTGGTTCATGTTTTTAGCCGGTGGATTGTGTTTGTTACTCTTGAAACTTTGCTCCTAGCCGGCTAGGCATCGCCCGAAAGCTTCTAACTCTTGTGTGGCTGCTCTGAGACGTTTGTAATCACCCAAGCATCTAGTAAGAACCCCGTCATCTCAAGAGATACCTCTCTTGACTTGAGAACGAGGATAGGGTTTGTGAAACCCAAATCCTTTGTGGCTTCCTCAACAACATGGACTTAGGCAAGCCTTAGTGGCGAGCTGAACCATGGGATCAATCATTGTCTCTCTTATGTTCTTGTTTTATATTGTTCTATACTTGTTCATGTGGTGATTCTAGGGTTTGGTCCTGGTTTACTCGCTTGTGCTTCTCCAACTACTTCCAACTGGTGATCTAGGCTCTACTCTACCTCAGGAAGCTCAATAAATTTCCCAATCTAAGTTTCCTTTAATAGATTTTGAATTGCAACTCGAGCTTGTCTATAGGTGCGGCAGTGCCGCTTTGTTGTGTGACCATATTGCATATTTGGGCGGCAGTGCCACGTGTGGAATTTAACATTTGTTTGAGTTTGTTTTAAATAGCCTATTCACCCTCCCTCTAGGCTTAGCAGAGATCCTACAGTACTATAAAGGTGTATGAACTAGTAGCTTGATCTACATGAGTCTAGGGAGTGAGTGTGATGTATAGTTGTCAAACTTAGCACTAGGTAGCTCAGATGAAACCCTAAGGGTCCGTTTGGATATTGGCATTAGAGATCCTGGAATTGAATTGACACCAATACCAAATCGGACTTATATTGGAAATGGATATCAATACCAAAGTGGTTGTTTGGATGTAGATACAATTGCTAGCTAGAATCAAATGCAGTGCCAAATACAAATTCATGTTTGGATGTGCATACCATGGAATTGGGAATTGACCCATCTTCTTCCCCTCTTCACCCATGACCTAGCCCATACCGGTGACAGCAAGAGGTGTGGAGGGGCACTGCAGGAATAGGCGCTGGAGGTGAAGCTACAGGCACTCGCCATTGGAGCCGGCCAACCCGACACCTGTAGATGGGGATGGTTCTACTTCTGGGTAGATGGGGATGGCATCCATGACCGTGAGGTGGTCATCGCCGTCCTCATCATCAGGGAGTGGGAGAGGAAGTGAAGGGCATGGTGCCACCCCTTGCCAAATCGGGAGAAGGCAGGTGTTACGCCACCCATGTCGGAGGGGAGAGGACGAAGGCCTCCAATGAGGGACCTGGAATGGGCTAGCACACGAGGGCGGGGGAGGCCTGCAGTGATGGGGAGGAGGGTGGGGGCAGAGGTGCTTGGCACACGAGGAGGTGGAGGTGCTCGGTGAGGCCGTGAGGGGATAGAGAGAGACGTGCGACGGTGCGAGGGTGAGGATGTCTCAAGGCCATGGTGGGAGGGAGGGAGGTACGTGAAGGATTCCAACCAATAACGAGGGTCTTGGCTCAGTATCGTCTTTGGGCTTGGCTAGGTGAAGTGAATGCCATGAGGAAACGAGCCTAGATTTGAGACTATAGTGCCCATGACCATCCAAACATGTGGAATTCAGGCCTACCCTTTCTAATTCCAAATGTTGGGCCTCAATATAGACATCTACGGGGCATAAGATCAATTGAAAGTTAACCCATTTTCAAAGTTGGTTGAATTGGACAAAAATGGGGGTTTTTTTCTGTACCACTGGATTTATCTGGTGCTTGGCATATAGTGTCACCGAAGAAGTGGCATGTGTATTGGATATATTGTTCGATGAATGGTGCTATCGCTTCTTCTAGTGGCACCGCAGAACATGGCACTAGAGAAAAGGCTCTAAGTCAACATCGACAGGGAACAGGGAAAAGAGAGTTCCTAGACTCACCAGAATAATTCGATAAGGATCATCAAAGAATCCAGTGCTCACCAATGAGGTTCTAGTAAGGGTTTGGAGTCACCGGATTTATCCGGTTCGTATCACCAGATAAAGTGCTACAAGGGTCATACAATAAATGACTAGTTAGAAATAGTTGTTGGAGAGGCACCAGAAACTCCGGTGCTTTCGGTTCAAAAGCGCACTGCAGACTTTTTCAGGTGAGTGCGAAAATCGATTGGAGTTCAAACTAGTTTTTTTGAGTGGGGTCTTTATGTACCCCTCCATCTCGTGCATTTGGACTCTCTTGGCATTCGTAACACACACATACATGTACTCTTTGGTGTCCAAGGGAGAGCTTGAGGCTAGTGGAGTGATTGAGATTTGATAATCCAAGTGTTGTTCTAGGCCACAGTCTTTGAACACTAGTCTGCTGCTGTAGCTACTAAAAACACGATGATACCAAAAGAAGGGAACACGGAGGAAGAACGAAAGGAAAATTACATATTGATCACCAAAACAAGGGTTTTTCCTCCCTTTACAACGCTCTCGTGGAGCTCTATTTATACACAGTCGTATCTTTTTACATGGACCAAAATTCCCCCTAACTACTACGATACTCAGGCATATTCCTCTTCCCTGGAGGCGCCTTTTGTCCAACCGACATTTGGCCTACCTCAGAAAACTCCTTCCTCTGGTGGGTCCTCCCCGTTCGAGCCCCCTAGGCAGGCGACCGCTGGGCCTTCTTAGTAGGACAGCAGGCCAAAAACGACAAAAGACTTGCAATACGGCATGTCACTCCTTAACGGTTAGCCACTGTCCCACCAAAAAGGTCCCCCATATATCGCACTTTGCTACTAATCACTTGTTGACGAAAGCAGCAAACGCCTTTCGCCGTGGGCATCACCGATGCGTCATTCAAGGGTGAAAGCTGTCGGTGCCATTCACCAAAGGTTTCATCAATTGTCGACCCGACCCATAAGGGTGAAATGTTGGTCGAAAGCTTTTGCGCCCTCCAGCGCAAGCCCGGTGAAAATGCCGCTGGCTTTCACCACTTGTTTCATCGGCAAGCCTTTCGTCCCTAGCAGGTGAAACGTTGGTCAAATTTGCGCCCTCCTACGCGAGCCGGGTGAAAGTGTTGCTGGCTTTCGCCAGTTGTTTCGTCGGCAAGCCTTTCGTCCCTAGCAGTTGAAATGTTGGCCGATTAGTAGGAAAAGGAGGGGGCCTAAGTCATAGGGCCTCCCCCAACAGTGGCCCCTCGGTGATCTCTTTCGCCGCTAGCACAGATAGAGGTCGCCACGTTTGGCGAATGTTTCGGCCAGCGGCGCCTTTCCCCAAGGTGCGAAACGCTTAGCCGATTGTCTTTTATGTTTGATTTTATTTTTTGTGGGACATTATTTTCTTCAAATTGGCATACTATTTAATTATTATTTATATACATATTTTATTATTTCGGTTGT